GTAAAGTCGAATTTATTTAACTTATTGCACAAGTTAAACTAAATGTTAAAATATGATGCCAAGCGTAAGAGTTTTAAGGAAACTTTAGCTTAAAAATAGTTCTGATTAGGGTTGTCATCTATTCAAAAGGTAATAACTATCAACAATATTTTTAATGGAGGTCATCTGATCTGCACCCTTACTTCCGAGTTCAAAAATGAGGAGGATGCCTTCCCCTACCTCCGTCACCAGCACTCAGCTAGCGTTGTATGCTTTCAGTGCTGGATCGTTTCTATCCAGTACATGAAATTATGACTGGCAACTGTGACGTGGGTGCCAAGACGCGCATGCTCTGACTGTTTGTCTGGTGACAGGAGTTTTGTTCTCATCCACCGCCAGGCAGAACAGACGTACATATATAGCTCTTGTTTTTAACGATTAGATTATATGCAATGTGTATTTTATTAAAGTACCAGCGATAGTGCTCAGCGTGAATACTTTTTACTGTGTTTTCGCCAGTCAACTTTTCAATTTTTATTCACAAAAACATTATTCAGCCCAGGCAATAAAAAAATACTGCAATAATATTAATTTTCGCACGCTTTCAGTCCACACAATTCTAATAGGCTTTGCTGTTGTCAAATAGAAATTGTAACGGATTTACTCAATTGAAACAAATGCGAATTCCAGATACTTTTCCTTTTTTTTTTCCACCGCATGTAGCCGACAATCGTCACGCCAATAACTTTGCTCAATTTCAATTTCAAATGCAGAGTAAAATTAAGCACCCATTCGAGTGTTGTGAAAATACAAACTCAAGCACACACACACACACACACACACATGCGTTAGAATGCAGACATGTGTGCGCATGAATTCCGATATTCTCGAAAGATAAAATGTGACGACTTTTCTATTAAAGCATCTCAAATTACAAACAACAACTGGCTGCCTGACTGCCGGACAGGCCGCTTTGACGGCGCGCAGTTGGTCATCCCTGCTGCTCTGTTATTTGCATTTTTGAGGCCTACAACTCATTGAGGCGTTGACAATATATACGTACGTCGTTTTTGTTTTTGTTCTTGCCGTTGCTGTTGATGCCATCAGCTGGCAGCCAACGACCAGCGACCAGCAACGATTGCCACACAAAATGCCTGCACTGCATTGTGGGATGGATGCCTCTCAAGTGGCTGGCTGGTGACCGCATTGCAGCTGCGTTTAGCATCACCACAGAAGGGGAGCAATTCTTTGAAGTTGTTGTTGGCTCGCAAAGGAAGCGATGAATTGAGTATTTTATTGCTATTAATTTTTTGGAAATTGTAAGGCGTGTTTGTTGTTTTTTTTTTTTTAGGTCATTTATTTAGCTGTTGCTTAACCGCAAAATATTGCCAACGCGCTTAGTAACCGGCAGCCAGGCACATTTGCTTGTCGTTGCTGGGTGGAGAATATTGCATAAAAACGCTTAGATTAGAATAGAAAAATATACTACTAGAAAGGAGGAAATTTGAGTACTCCAGCGCCTTTTGCATATTTGCATTATTTTAAATAATTTTTTTCGCGGCACTGTGTTTAATTTCTTATTGGTATGCGTTTCACTGCAATGAGACGAAATCGCTTTCATTTGCTCAATTGCCGGTTTTTTGATATGGGTGGAAATAATCGTAAAATAAATTGTGGCCCGTTTTATCTTATTATATTAAACAAGCAATTCTTGTGGTATACATATACATATGTACATAATATATTATATCCATAGGTTTCTCGGAAACCGCTCTAAAGATTTTGATTAAATTTTGTATACAGATACATATGTAATGTTTTGCATTCTAAGGTTATCTAGATAGGTGTTATGTATCTCCGAATGTGGTTGTCATCTTTTCGAAATTAGTAAAAAACTAAATAACACATCATACTATGTGAGTATCAAAGGAAAAGTGATTTGAAAATCCAATAATTCAGAAATATTTATGAATGGGCTTGCCACCTATTTTTATATAGTGCATTTATTTAATTTATTGTTTAGTGTATACGGGTGCTAAAAGAAAGCTCTTAAACAATGCTTTGCCCTATATATAGTGAGGTTGTCCCTTAAGATATTAGTGTAAAGTTGCCACTTATTTTCGATTCTGCAACATTTAACTAAAATAACTTAATATGGATATCAAATGAGAGGAATTTTTGAGAAATGTTTTCGTTGGGGGTTGCAACGTTTTTTTTTTTAAACAAATTTTAATCTTCCTAATTTCAGCAAGACGTTTTGTAAGTATGTATGTACTTATGTGTACACAGTACATTTGCACTCAAAATATGTACTATTCAACTTGGCGTATTTTTTAATAGGATTACCACCAAATTTTTGATGTCAAATATTTTTAAATTTATTAGATACAAAAAGTATAAATTTTTAATTTTTTTTTTCAAGAACACTTCTGGTAGAATATTGACGATATTTTTGTAAATTATTATAATTTCTTCAAAGTTTTTTATTTTCCCTTTGTTGCATCGAATACTTAGTCACTGCCAAGCTAAAATAATAACGGATTTATAATATTTTTTTATCGATATACATAATTTGTATGGAAAATGGTATTTATTGCAATTCCATATACAATATTACATAAAAATTATTTTTGAGTTAAAGCTATCCATTACTTGGTACTGAAATCTTGAAAACTTTTGAAAGTGTATGCATTCCGAGCAAAGCTCTGTTAACCTGGTACTTTTATATTATTTCCGCAATGGGAAAGCAATCCACGTACTCTCTGTATATTGATATGCAAAATTTTAATATGCATTTTTTGATTTGTTTTTGATTTTTTATTTCATTAGCTGATTGTAGATTACTTCATAAAAATGAAATTTCAGTTTAATATTCAAAAAATTTCGAAGCTTTCAAGGCCTTTTCTTTTTACTAGTTTTAGTGCACACCTTTTGGTCTCTCCTATTTTTAACCGACTTCCAAAAAAGGAGGAGGTTATCAGTTCGTCGGAAGGTAGTGTCTCAGAGGTGGTCCCATACTAATCTGGTTAAGATCCGATCAGTGGATCGTGAGATATATATATATATATATTTTTTTTTTATATGAGAGTTGAAGTCGGTTTTTTTTTTTGCTAACAATTACTTGTTTGTGTTTTATTTTGCGCTTTCCATTATTTTATTTCTCTTATCCTAATGTTTCTTATTTGCTTAGAATTTTAGTTCCTTGATTGTCAGCTAAATACATTGTTTGCTTAGTAGCCGCTCATGACTAGTGTTACTGTTTTTGCGCTAATTTCATTTACGCATAGGTTGTATGTACATATGTATATTAGGGTGGTCTAAAATAAGTAAAGTAGGAATTGTAGTGCTCCACCCCCTAGGATTGTTCCATATAGAAAAAATATACCCCAATTGTTTTTTGTTTGAAATCAAAAAATATTTAGAGGTCGCTCAAAGCGCTTGGATAATTTTTTCCATGTGTTTTATATGGGGAAAAAACCTTTTCGTAGAAATGGCATGGAATTCTTGAAAATCAAAATTTTCGATCGGAAAACTTTTGTGCTTTTCTGGAGACCTCCAGTAACAATACCCAATTGTTTATTCGACCATTTTTTAATACTAAAGATTTTTTTTATTTCTGGCATTTTCTGAGGATTTTGGCGGACCTATAAAATACAGTTACTATGATAAAATGGTTAAATAAATACTTGGGAATTATTATTGTGAATCTCCTGGAAACAAAGTTTTCCGATCGAAAAATATTGATTTTCAAGAATTCTATACCATTTCTACGAAAAGGGTTTCCTTCTTTTCCCCCCATATAAAATACATAGATGGAAAACTTTGAGCGCTTTGAGCGTCCCCTAAGTATTTTTTGATTTCAAAATAAAAAATACGGGTATATTTTTTCGGTATAGAACCATCCAAGGTGGTGAGAGCATACAAATTCCGACTTTACTTTTTCACATGCATTTTTGGACCACCCTAACGCAGCGTGTATGTAACAGCTAGCTTGCATTTGCTTACACAGTTGTGATTTCAGTTGCTTGTTTATCAATTTAATTAAACACGAGTGGCTGGCATTGTTTTCAATGTCTGCCAATGTCTGGCTTTACTTGCCTACCAACGCCCACATTTCTCCTACAATTTTATGCTAATTAGCAATTAATAGAATTGGCAAGTCGTCCTCGATCTTCTGAATATGTAAAAGTTTTATAAACTTTGATTTCGCTTTCATTTAAGTTTTGTTAGAATTTTGGGTATTGTTTGTTTGCAAGTTTCCTTGACACTGGTAAGAAGATAAATTTCACTCTCACTAATGTAAGTAACATAAATGGAGTATTACAAAATTTAATTTTTTTTTTCCTGATACCGTAAAACCATAGAAATATACTACTAACGCGTCTTGGCAAGTCTTAGAGTGAAAAGTTGCTAAGTCCACTTTTCCATATTACTCATATTTTAATATAGAGGGCTAGAAAAATTTAAAATGTCCTGTTCCGAAAAGCATTTTGGTTTTATTTTTTCTCGTTTATATTCAATGAAAATCCAAAAGAAGCACCAAAATCGGATAAGGTCAAAATAGTACGAAATCTTTTGATAGAGATCGAATCCCTCTAATTCGTATGGAGATTTGCTTTTATTTGAACAGACAAAATGTTGTATTAAGATTTTTGGAAATACTTAAATAAGACGGCTATTAGAATTTTTTTTGTCTCTCCAGTAAAATTTTTACAATGGGAAATGTTTTCCAATGAAATTCTTAGATTGGACGTTCTTCTGAGAAAGGGCGTTGTTGGAAAATTTTCTGAGATAAGGCATTTTCGAACTGGCTGCCGCGATAGATCGGTTTTCCGCTCAAACATCGATATACAAAGAAATAAAATCACATCTCTTCTACGGTTTCTTCATCCGAAAGCTGAAATTGACACAAAATTTCTTTCTTGTCAAACAGTTTAATTAAAAAAATAAAAAAAGAAGGAATAGAAGCAAAAATAAAAATATTTGGCGTGCTCTATATTTATCTGTGAACTTTAGAAACAAAGAACATTAAATTTTTTTGTATTAGTTTAATAAATATCTCCGACTAGTCTCCTCAGTCCGACAATGCAAACTCAAATGTTGCACGACGTACACATTGAACAAGATGTGGGCATCCCTTTGTCTGCCGACGCTGCCTGGACGATCTTCAATCGCTGGCCGAGGGAAGCGCGGAGCCAACGCAGGCTGCTGGGTAAGAAAGCGCGGCATACAGTGCCGCAACAGGATTGTAGCACATGCTGCAAGAAGGACACCGCCAACACCGACGAGAAGTTATGTGGCATTGTGTCGCACGCGCAAAGCGGGCAGCCACGACCGAAAGGTGTGCTGCGCAACCTAAGCGAATGGTACAATGCCAAGTGCGCGGCCGACGCGAGTGGAGTATTGGATTTGTCGAAATTGGAGCATTTGAAGATAAAATATAAAATACCACCGCACGAAATTGGCAAGGGTATTAATGAAATGAAGAACCAATCCGCTAACCCGTCAAGCTTCGGTGCAAAGGGCAAACGTACAGTGCAGGAAAAGAATAGTACTAAAGAGCAGCTACCAAAAGATTGCAGCACCTCTGAGTTATATTACGCAATCGAAAATCAGTTACGCAATCTGAGTGTCAGCCAATCGCGTCTTAAACACATGAGCGCGAGTCTCTGCCGCTTGGCATACTCCAAGAAGAATGTGTCCAAGCCCAAACCGAAGCCGAAAGCTTACGACTACCGTGTGGCACATCTTGGTATTAACAGCTCAAAGAACAGCAACAGCAGCTCTAGCAACAAGAGTAGCAAAGTAAACAAAGACAATCAGATGACAACCAGCAAGATTAGTAAGTCGAGTGGAGCCAATAACTCCAAGAAAGCCAGCAAGCGCAGCGACATCAGCAAGAGTAGCAAGCAAACGATAACCTCCGACTCGTCCGATTCCAACGACAAAAGTTTCCGCTTCGTCAACAATAGTGGAATAAAAAATTCAGCGTATGCCGGTCGCAAACAGCAGCCCGACAGTGCCCGAACTGTAAGCATGTCTACGAAGGATGAAATGCAAGGCTCAATCAGAGAAGCGCCCATCCTACATATCGGCAGCGGTGGCAGTGTAGCTGGTAATCAGAATAGCAGCAGCAGCCTTACTTCCGAAAGTTACCGCACAGTACTCCTACAGCCGGTAACAGATGAAAGTAGTGCGAAAATTTCGACACAACCCAAAGCTGGCGGACCGGTTACTAAGAGTCGCATTGCGACTAAAACCGCGCAATGCCACCTTAGCCAGCAGAAGCGCAAACAACAAACTACAGACGACAGCTCGAGCGATGGTCCAACGGCTAGTGACGGCAGGAAGAAGAAAGTGTCGCCTTCGGTGCGCATTTCAAAGCTCACGCTTGCGTTGCTGTCCAAAATGTCACCAACCAGGTCTAAATGTAATATGGTGCTGAGGAGAAAGAAGTCGAAGTGTGCGGCCGGCAAAGAGTGCCTGAAGCGTCGCGCATAGAAATATCGAAAACTGCGAGTGCGTCCAATTCAAAGTTTTTCGCTATGTTTCCAAATTTTTGCCTATGTTGTTTGCAAATTATGCGCAACTCCTGAATTCTGTGCGACTGTGTAAGAATCTAATTGGAAAAGTTCATTCCGGAATCGCACACGGAATTTAGTAGTTGTGTAGGTTTCCTCTATTTAGATCCAATTGAAAATAAGTATGTGTTTAATCAGGATTTTTGTGGTGGTTTCAAAATTTAATCGAATTGAATAAATTTGTCGTATTGTAAACAAGATCGTGCTATATATGTAATTAGTGCAACGCTTCTTCGTGAAGATTCTTCATTTCTTTCGATCCCATTTTTATGCTGCAAAAAAGTCAGATTTTGAAGCATATCCCAGGGACTATTCACATCATTTCTTGATATCCGACTTGATCTACTTTTCTTAATCCTTTAACTATGTATCCTTCCGCTTCATGAGCCTTCTAACGAACATCACTTTAGACAAATATAGTCTTCAAAGCCGTTTTGCTCTGGAAGTTGTGCGAAACTGTCACTTTTGATTCATTGCGCGGATCACATTCTCGTTTCGGAACCACATGCTCGATTTTTTGGTTTAAAGAAACAGCGTCAGGGTGGATGTGACGAATGCGTCCCTTGGGTTCGGTAGGTACTACTTTGGAAGTAATATTTACCTTATCAAATAATGCCACCCTGTTCTGTTAAACAAATATTTATGGCTGAGTGGAAGTTCGGCCTATCTCGGCAGCCAGTTCAAAAACGCCCTATCTCAGAAAACTTTTCAATAACGGCCTACTTCAGAATTTCATTGAAAAACACCCTCAGAATTCGGTTCAAAAACGCCCTATCTCAAACGAAAATACATTGAAAATAAGCTGAGATAGGGCGATTTTGAATCGGCAGCTGAGATAGGGCGTTTTTCAATCAAATTCTGAAGTAGGGCGTTCTTGAAAAATTTTCTGAGATAGGGCGTTTTCGAACTTTCGAACTGATCTTCCACTCAGCCATCGATATGTAGTGCTCTAGGAAAGGTCGTAAGAAGAGCTATCTTCTATTAGCATTGAGGTAGTCAAACTTTCCTTGATTGCCTAACACACTCGTAATTAGGATATCTTCAAGTCTTTAGTTAGGGCCACATTTTCTAGAAAGGCATGTACCGTTATGCGGAAATTTTCAGAGGTGCTGTTGGCCACAGCCACAGTCAATGCAAGGACAAACTCCTTATATACGTCAAACAGCTGAAAATGTGCCAAAAGTCAAGGCCTAAGCAATATTGTCATCTGATGCAAGACTTACTTATGTACAGTCGGTGCCGATTGTAAGTGTACCACCTTCACAATTATTTTCATGCAAAATTAATTGTTTGCGAAAATATAGTTCATTCTCTAACATAAACCATATAAATCAAAATTTCACACTTTATATAAAGTTCACAAAAATTCAAAAAATTTTCATCCAAATTTCCAAATTTGTATCCAGAATTTCTAGCAGAAGCAAAGTGCAAGTTTCAAGTCGCTAGAAATTACCGTTGATTTTTTATAATTTTTTTTGTGGAGGTTGTTGCACGTTTTCTTCCTTCCATATAACGCGTAATCAAAAGCTATTTTTATATGGAAGAAAATGCGCAACACCTGCCACAAAAAATTCCAAAAAGTCAACGCTAATTTCTAGCGACTTAAACCTGGCACTGTACTATACTAAAATTGAAGGGGCTACAAAACTGCATACTCAAAAGTTTCCTAGAAATTCTGAATAAAAATTTTGATGAAAATTGTTTTAATTTTTGTGAACTTTACATAAAGTGTGAAGCTTTGATTTATATGGTTTATATTATATTTTCATAAATAATTAATGAAAAAAATTTTGCATGGAAATAATTGTGAATTTTATATTACAACAAGGTGTACACTGACATTTGACGCCGACTGTATATACTAAGAGAACATCCCGCTGGATACCTTTATCGTTGCGACAATGATGTAAATGCAAGGAAGAAAGTAACAGTTTATGCCTATGATACGATAGACGAGAGTGACACGGTAGTGAAGACTCAGATGCTGGTGCGAGCGCAACAGGAAAAATTAGCACGGAAACTAGTTCTTCTGAATATTCTCCCCGAAAGCGATGTGGCAGTTCCATGTCTGCCAGCTCTAGTAAAATAGTAACAAAAAAAAAACTGTTTTGCTTGGATGTTAAGAAAAGCGTATTTCGTTAAGTTTCACGCTGTTTTTTATGTTTTCGTACTCAGCTAACAGCTTACAAAAATTTACGCCTTTAAAAAAGCAACCCTTTCTCCAAAGATGTCAGCAAAATTTTTAATATTCATTTTCAAAATTTACCTTTTGGTTTGTATTTTTTTTTTGTCGCTGTAGGCCGAATTTGCTTAATCCAAAAAAAAAGTCCGAAACACATAATGTGCAATTCGTATGGCAATCATCGCAATTGTTGTTGTTGTACTTCACCAGCTTGCTGTAATGATAGCGGCAGTGTCGACGATTGTCGCAGATTTGTGCGTTCCATACATCACTGCTATCCGGACACACCAATTCCGAAAAGATGCGCCTGCTGTCAGAAGCTTTCGTGCAAAACCAATGATCTATTGCACCACTTGTGCCCAGTGCCCGGTACTCGAGGAGAAACCATGAAGCAAATACTCCTCGCGCGCCCGCCAAAACCCACATGTTGTGCCCGGTCCACTGCAGTGTCACAACTGTTACTGCCTTTCTTGCAATCTTCAGACGCAGATCGAGAGCTGGAAAGCACCCGCGATAATAGAAACTTTGAAGAAAAATTTGAACAACGCTTAATTGAAAAGTTCAATGCTGGCACTGACGTGCAGAAAAAGAAATGCAAAAGGCGCGGGACAAATCAGTGTAAAGACTTTGTGAATGAATTGAATGGTTGGTATGCCAAAGAAATGAATTATACACTTCCTGCTGCCACAAGGAAGCATAAACACAGGATATCACCGAGAAATAGCCTATTGAACTTTCAAAACGAAAATAAATGGTCTATGATATCAGGTGCAACTGAAGAAGAATCTGAAACAGGCCCCCATACGAGTTTATCAATTAAATTTAGTAAGATGCAGGTAAACCCGGATGAGTCAACATATCCTGGGGAGGTGGACGAGAAAGTGGCCATAGAGGATCTGCGTAACTTGCTCAAAGAAGTGCAAAACAAACCCTGGCGTCCAGTACTTTTTCATTCGCCATTCAATAGGGACATGGTATGGACTTGGCGCAATTACGATCCCACAACAGATGTGCCAGCTTCTTTACAGAAAATGCCGAAAAGCGATCGCGCATCCGAATATAGTATGTGGACTATGACTTTGATACAAAATTTGATGGCCGGACATCCTGTGACAGATAAGAAGATAAAGACTAATAAAGAATTGGGAAAACTGGTGAACCAATTGGCGACCGAACTAAAACGACGGAACGAAGCAAGAGCGAACATGCCGCAGGTGCAGCAGCCAAACAAAAGACTGCACCATCGGCGTCGAAATCCATCAAATTAGATGATACAGTTTGCGAATTCAAAAAAGTCGATAAGTTGCGTGTTTGAGTTTCAGATGATTGTGATACGAATTGAGCATTTTTTTCTATTTTATTCTTAATTCAATTTGGTAAATTTTTGTTAAAATTATATTTGTGAATACATCAAATTGTGTTAAGCGTGAAGTAACTTTTTCAATCTAGTTATTGACGCTAGTCTTTGTGTATTCTCTTTATAAAATAATTGCAATAGGATAATTTACGTTTTCGCAGGCAAAAAATAATTATTATATTAAAATATTAGAACCCTTTCTTTAATGAAACGTTTTTTAATAAAAAAGTAGTACATACATATGCACAATATTCTCGGCGGCTCCGAATACGAACTCTAGCTTGCAATGGCCAAACAGCCGTGCTTGAGTTCGAATTTTAAACCTTCTCTGCCTGTCTTCGTTCCTCTCTCTCTTCCTCTTTATCTCGCTGTTCCTTTCCCTATCTTTTCGTTTCGCTCTCTTCCTCTCTTCCTTCCTTTCTCTCCCTTTTCCGAATTCCTCTCCCTTTCTGTATATTTTTCTCTTTTCCTCTCTGTCCATTCCTATCTCGCTCTTCCTCTTTCCCTCTTCATGTCTCGCTCTTCCTCTCTCTTCCTATATCTCTCCTATCTTCCTCTTTTTCTCTTACGAGCATTTTTTAAGTCATGCAATTCTTAACTATTGTTTTTTTTAAAGCTCTAATACTTAGTGCAATATATTTAGGCTTCACTTCATTTATAATCATTTTACTCTTCTTTTTCTCAGGCAAACAGTAACGACTGAGATTTTAATTTTTCGTTTTAATTTTCCCATCAACAAAATTTTAAAAACACTTTGGCGCATAAAAAATCAAAAAGTAAAATCTAAAAAATGTCCTACAATCCGATTCAAAACCAACAAATCTATCCATTTTGTAGCAGCGATTATATCGACGATAGGCAGTTCTACAGAGGCTGTAAAAATGGGCATTCTTCGGGTAAGCGTTACAAAGAGCGCATGTGTTGGAAGCAGTCAGCTACACGGCCCGTGCCTACAGATAAGACTCTGAGGCAAGCTATCGCCTCATTGAATGTGATGTACACAAAAGCAAATGCAGAAATACCCCTACAGCAGTACACAGGCGAGGGTGATGCCTACGTGTATGGTAATACGAGGAATTTGTACCAGTACCCAACTTATTGGACACCGCAGCATACGAAAAGGGGAGCAACACAGAAACAGCCGAATGATCCAGGGAAACGTGAAATGAATGAACTACTGAAGCGTATCGATCGATGGTATGCTGCGGAAATGAGAAAGTGCTGTCCCGAAGTGGGGATGAATCATCAGAAACAGTAGAAAGTTTGAGACTTGTTATAATGGCCATTTCAATGTGATGCATGGAGTAAAATGTGAAGGCGGTCATGAAATGAGCAGTGCATATTCGACATATCTCTTCATATCTCATTTGCAATTTGCCTC